AGTTCTCCATACTGGTGCCCCCTTGGGCCTGCCAAACCCTCAGTCCTAAGTCCATTACAAGCTCATGTGGACCAAGTTAAACTCAATAAGATACATTCCATTATGTCTGTACGGAGAATAAATTCACACGAAGACATAAGGTATATGAATCCCGAAGGTTACTTGCTAGTCTATAGGGAGAATAAATTCCCACGAAGGCGTCGCTTTCACCTCCACTTAAAAATGGTTTGGAGCTCGGGAATAGAGCCTGAGATGATTTTTTTAAAAAGCTAATATTATTGACAAAACATCAGTACAACTATTTATTCGAAAAATAATAATCAAAGATAAATAGCAAAGGTTGAAAGCATAAATTATAATTTATACTTACAATTTTCGCTTAAGAAGACAATAGAAAATCAATTTTGGCCTGACTCACTTACATATCCCCAGCAAAGTCGCCAAGGTGTTGTAATCGACCTTCGGGTGGGCCTGGATTCAGGTTCCAACTTGAATTGATGTGATAGAGTTGCCACTGATCATTTTAGTTTGGTTGATCAAGTACCATAACTTATCGTTATCTGATCTACAACTTACCAAAAATTTGTCAGATTCGGGAGTCGATTACAATCAGGGAATGATTAGCACATATTTATTGCCCTTTCGATACCAATTTGATTTCTCGGTTGTCTTAATTACAAAAATTAAAAGTTAAATTAAAATTTAAAAGTTCGATCCAAATTAGACCAATTTAAAATTGCCTAAAAATAGAAATATTAATATTAAACAAAAACAAAAAATAAAATAAAAGATTCAGAAAAAATACAAATATTAAAAAGGATTAAATTGAAAATAATTAAAGAATTTAGGGGTTAAATTGATGTTAAATGAAAGTTACAGGGAGAAATTAAAAAGGTTAGCTAGCCAATTTGAAAAATATAGGAAATATAAACATGGATTAAATTGAATTAATTTAAAATTTAAGGGCAAAATTAAAACATGTGACCAAAATAAATTACGCATCAAAACTTCAAGGACTGTAGAAATAATTTAAGAATTTTCTAATTACATAGAGGTACTCCTTATATAGAGCCCTTAAAACCCCATTTTCCCTTATTTTCAACCATTTAACAAAAAAAAACCCTCTCTCAAACTCTCCCAACACAACCCCAACCGACCTATGATCGGTCATCCACCGATGAAGTCGCCGCCACCTGGACCACCATTCTGGTCGTCGCCTCCGGTGGCCGGAAAACCTAAACTAGCCCCGAACTACTCCTCTTAACACCGTGAACACGAAACCGAGGCCCGATTATCTCAAAAAATTCCCCACCGGCATAGATCTAGACTCGAAGTTTCGGGTTTACCTTTTTTGGCGAGCCTTTTCAACTTTTGGTGGCTTTTCCTTTCCCGATGAGGCTTTCACGCGATCTCGACGACTTTAAATGGAACAAAGCTTTAAGCTTTCGAATTTTGTTTTTGATTTCGAACGTTTTTGCTCTTTACTTTGGATTGGGTTTTCGTATATTTGTTATGTATCGTTCTGTTTCTCTGTGTATTTTGATGGCTATTGTGGTTTTGCTACTTGTATTTCTCCTGTGGTTTTCTCTTTTCCTCTGCCCTGCTTCTGTTGGTTTCCGTCGTATATATAGCCCCTCTGACGGGGTTATTAATGGATATAACGAGATAGTGCAGTCCAGATTTGCATGTTCGACGTTTTGTAGTTGGAAAATCGGACCGGTTTCGTGATGACCGGAAATATCGGAATGGTTTGTTCCGGATTCACTTGGTCGGTTTTTTAATCTTAGCTGGCATGTGGTATCCATGCGTGCGCCGCCATTAGTGGTGCCTATGTCATCTTAGGGTTTGGAAAACCTTAACCCTCTATTGGGTCAAAAAAATGAGTTTGGACCTTGTTGGGCTTCTGTCAAGTTTACTGGGCCAAGCTACCCGGTTGGACTTCACTCTAGTCCATATTCCAAAATTTACTGAACTATTTGAACATGAAAAATGAAAAAAAATAAAAAATAAATAAATAAATAATAATAATAATAATAATAATAAGCTTAATATATATATATATAATATTATGTTTTCAAAATATGTATATTACATATATTTTTAAAATATATACTACATTTTAAAAAAATTATATATTATATATTTTTTAAAACTATATAATATATTTTCAAAAATTATACTATATATTTTTAAAACTATATTATATATTTTTAAAAATTATATATATATTATTTTTTATAAAACTATACATTATACATTATCATATATTCTATATACTATAAATAATAAAAATAATAAATTCTCGAATGAAAATGAGTCTCCACTGTAATAGTAAAAAAGTGAAATCGGATAAATCTAAATCCGGTTTCAGGGAAAAAATCCGTTTGCAGATCTTAGAATAGAGTATTCTGACTCGATGAGCAATCAGATAGGAGAACGACTTCTTCCAATCAAAACTGTTGGTCGCAAGCGAGAAGCGAAGAATCTAAACCGGAGAAGCTCTTCGGCTTTTGGTCCACGACGGACTCCCAATTCGAAACCACATGTTTTACATTCTCTTCGATTAAAGAGGTTGAGGAGTATTCAAAGCTGGAACTTGGAAGTCACATAAACGAGGTCGTTTTCTTTATTCTCCGATGAGAGTTTTGAGGTTCCATAAGGAACCAGCTGGACGCCGGAAATATCCGAAACCGCGTCGTTTATCTCAGGTTTCTCCAAATTATCGTTTTCTTTTCTCAACTTCCGACATGGTTCACCAAAATCAAGAAAATCAGCACCGGAATTGGATTCAACGCAGGAAGATTCACTCACTTCAGCTTCATTTCCTAATTTAGCTTCTCTTTCCTACTTGGAATACCATCTCGGGATCCTCCTAAACTGAGAGTCTCCATTTCCTTCATTTCCTAGTTAGCTTCATCTCCATATTCACCTTTGATTTCAGAGAACTTCCTCCTCTTCTTCTTCTTCTGATTTGAAACACTACTTGAATCGCAAGAACCAGAATCAAATGGGAGAGTAATCGCTTGCTTTTGGAGAACAAACGTAGCCATCTGAGAACTCCGTCGAGATCTCTTGCAACGGAGTTTCCTTCTTTACGAGCATCCACTACGTCGCATCGAGTGGTACTGCATGATCTGGTTTGATTTGATTTTCGGATTTTATTTTGGGTGAAGTACCGAATGGACCGCATGTGATTATATTGAATTTTTTTAATTATTAATAGCTCCAAAAATATCATTCATTTTTTATTAAAAAACTGAGACGAATTAGACGTTAGTTTACTATTAATTTGTTTAACGTGAAAAATAAATTTAAAATATATATAAATAATTAAATGGTCATTTTATATTTTTTTACTAATTATGAGATTTAACAAAATAATGTCTTATAATTAAAAAATATTTTATAATTTTTAATAATAATGAGAATTAATAAAATAAAACGGGATTATCTGTGTACTTTATTATTATTTTCTTTAATGTTTGAATTAAAGCAAAAGGTGGCGAAGGTTAAGTTGAAGCTATCGGTTAATGGACATTGAGGGAGCGAAATGGGGCTGGGGATGTAGGAGTGCGTTTTAGATAGTTGTTTTTAGGTAAAATCCTTCAATTACTTAGATTTATTTATTTTACTGTAATTTAATTGATTCTAATATTTATATAAGTTAATTGTACTGAAAGTCCCTAAATTATACCTAGGTTTTATATTAGTCACCAAACATTAAAATATTTTAAATTAATCCTCAAACTATCAATATTATTTCAAACACATCCTTCTATTAGTTTAATAAATTATTTGAGCATTAAATATCAATTCGGGTCTATCGTGGAGCATGTTTAAAATTCATGAATCAAATTTTAGACACATTTGTGTATATGTTGAATGAATAAATAGTTTAGGATCTATCATATAAAAATTGCCATTAAAATTTAACAAGTTTATTTTTTAACACATCTTATCCGAATTGCCCATCTAGTGATATACAATATTTAAAATTCAATAAACATGTTTTAAATATGCTTCATAACATACCAAGTTGGCATTTTAATGTTCAAATAGTTTGTTAAACTATCGAAAGGACATGTTTGAAATGATATCGATATTTTGAGGATTCATTTAAAATGTTTCAAAGTTTATGAGCTAATATAACATTTGAGATATAATTTAAGGATGTCTGATGTAATTAATTCTTTTTATATTTTTATAAGCTCGAAACTTCAATCTTAAAAGTAAACAATACAAGAAAAATATAATTAAATTATAAGAATTTGAAATAATGAGGACAACGATTAAATCTACAACCATACATAAATAAAGACTATTATTTAGATAAAAAATAAAATTTATAAAAATGCATAGATTAAAATAAAAATTAAATTTATAATTTATAATTTATACCCAAAACTTGCTAATATTATTATTTAATTTTATCATCTATACAGGATATTTATTTATTTACATGTTTTCTTATACATTAGTATTGTTATTTGGATTTTGTTTGTTATTTTTAACGTGAATCGAATTTGAACATAGATCGAGAGTTCATACATTCCAACAAGAACAGGGTAAATTAAGAAACGCCAGAGTTATGGTGATAATAAAATATTAACTTCATAAAGTAAGATGAAGAGAAGAAAGCCAGAGTATGACAAAGGTGAGGGTGTAAAATCTTTTGTTTAATAATTTTAAAATTGTCCTAACAAATCTTCAGATAGAAATAAAAATTACATGTGCTATTTTTTTTTATAAATTTTTAATTTCTCAATATTAGAAAATGACTTGAAATAATAGCAACAGAGGACTGTGAGGATTAACAAACTGCAGAAAAGTATGATGAAGCTGTTGACATGTATTTAGCATTAAGATATGAATATTAGGTTAGAAGATAGCATAATGTACCTCTATAGTACTAATCTTCATTTTTCTTCAACTATTCGTCTAGAACCATATAATCGAACACGAGAATGAAAAAAAAAATGACCTTGAAAATCAACCTTAACAAAATTTGGCCATGCCCATAGTTACGATCCTCCAAGTTCTAAGATATCTGCAATGGTGATGCATTCAATCTCGAGGTGTGCAGATTTCTCCATAAATTTGTGGTAAAAGCTCAAAACAATGAGATTTTTCCAAATGAGCTGCAGAACCTGTTTTCTCCATTTCGATTCAACACTTGGTGGGTTCCTCGTCTCGATTTTCATCATCATCGTTCACCGGAAAATTATTCGGTAAAAGCTCTTCCCAAGCACCAACGTCGTGCAAATTCGGCTGCTGAACCAAAGGCATATGACTATCATCCATAAGTTCTTTAACAAAATCAATATCCATCCAAAAATCTTCCGCTCCATCCAAAGAACCATCAGATTCACTAGGATTTGCAGTATCTATTATCGGTGTCAATGCCGGCTTCGAAGTTCCGATGGTTGGTGGCTGATACTGTACTATCATATGATCTGATGCCACTGGTTCAGCATCCTCTGTTGCCTGTTCTAGCATATTGTTTGCTTCGGCCATGAGCCAATTGTTTTCTTTCAGTTGGATTAAAAATCCCGGGCTTTGCATCGCCATTATTAAGAACGACAACAACTGCTGCTGACTTTTCTCCATTCCTTGAAGACGATCCTTCAAGAGAAGCAACTTATTGTCCGCAATTTCCTGGCACTGCCCGAGTTTAACCAACTCTTGCGTAAGAGCTTTCTTATCAGTCTTCAAATTCTCAACTTCCTTCCACAGCTTAATATTTTCATTGTTTTCAGAAGATCCAACCGAGTTCTCCGGCTGCTGCTGCAATGATTTACGCTGCTCAAATCCCTGGGAGTATTTCCGCCTAGCAATATTTTTCAGCAAGACTTTTTGACCTCTGATAAATCCATCATTTGCAAATTCCCAACGATCGGTATCAATTTTTCTAAAACCCTGAGGGAAATAACAGAAGTCACTACATATCAATGTCTTCAATAATGGTTAGTAGTTCAAATAGAAAACAGTCATGCATACACATGCCAAATGGACAAATATACAGACATCCATAATTGCTCACCAAATGGAACTGTTTGATTTCCATCGAAAGCAAATCTATTCATAACTTATAAGATTTCCGACTGACTAATCATCTAATATTGTCATCTCAGTGACAGAAATGGCAAAGAGATAGATACTATAGGTATGATATTGGCTTATGTTGCTCCGATTCTTTATTTTTCTTTCAAGTATCTGTGTCCGACACTCATGCCCGGCTCATATTCAAACATGGGTATGGGGGCATAGCTCTCCAAATTCACTGAAAAACTTGGGGGGAAAAAAGTTAAACATACCGACACAACACTCGCATCCTAGTCCAAGTAACAAAGGTGTAGGCTCATGTATCATATACAAAGATTTAGACTCAGCATAAAACATTTTTTGAGATGTAAAATTAATGCACTCAACATCAAAATTCCGCACAAACTATTTTGGAATCTGTTGTTTGAAAATTGCCCTAACCGAACCTGAACTAGCGAGAAACCTTTTATCCAATAAGCAACTAATTTAGTACAATATGTATGACAGAATACATAAGTGCAAATCAGGAACAAATTGAAGAAAATTCATTAATCAACCGAACTCAGCCTACATGTTTGAGCCTTTCCTTTGTATTTGAAATATTTACTGATGAAGATGATGCATACAGGCAAGAATATTTGCGTTCCACTGAAAGCTGACACTTTTACAAGCTCCTCCAACATTTAGTCCTTAAAAAGGCAAACAATATCAGGATCCAAAGCAAATAATTCTCCCCTTTGGTACCGACAAGAAATTTTAGACTGAAATTCGATTGAATTGAACCAACCACGAGAAACTGAAAGGATCAATCTAACAAAAATTCAGTTATAGTCATACTTTGTTTGGCCTAACCTAACAAATAATTTAAAATTAACACCATTTTTACTCTTTGAAAGCTAATTAAACTGGTGTTGCCTTCACTATTACAGAAAAATAGAGCAACTATTTACCTAAATTCTAGTACTACTAGCATGTATTCCTCTCCCCACTATCGCTAGATATTCAAAACTTGCTAAAAAATCTACAAATTCAAATCCAGAAGCTTGAATTCCCATTACTTGGAATTATGGCATCTAAGACAGAAATTTGAACACAACTATCAAGCAAAGCACAAAACTTATAAATCAATATTAACAAAACCCTAAATATTCAGAACTTCCAAAACTCCAGCACAGATATACCAAAGAACCCAATTCAGAACTTCCAAAACCCAAACTCAACACAAAAGAAAACCAATCTTGACATGAGGAGGAGGATAGAGAGACTGACATAAATATTGAGTTGCCTGATGAAAGAAGAGAAATTGCTGTGCTTGAAGTACTGAGGAAGCAAACGAACTGAGAATTCAGTGATATCCCAAATTATGAAACTATTGTTATTCTGGGTCCATGAAATTACTGAATCCGTCGCCTCATCATCTACCATCTCATAACATTTTCTCAGAAAAGGTGCTATAGACTGACACCCTTTTTCACTCGACTTCACCATAACTGGACTTCCAAAAAAACTAAAAAGAACACCGATGGTCAAAATAGAATCAAACTATATTATATTTTACTTTTGAATTTTTTTTGGACCAAGTGCACAAACGATCCCCTGACTTTTGAGCAGTTCTTTATGGACTCTTCTAACTATTAAAAGTTATAAAATAGCCCCTTAATTATATGACGTTATTTTGTTGAGTCCATTCCCTACTAAAAGTTACACTCAACTATTTATATTTTCTAAACTCATCTTTTCTGTTAAAAATTTGATGATCCTAGAAGTTAACTTATTGATTGGGATATGATAAAATTGTAACACCCCAATTTATGGGCTAAAATTAAGAAATTATAAAGTGGTGGATTTAATTTGGTATTTTGAAAGAAACAGTGGGTTAAATTGCAAAATTTTAAAGTTGGCAGACCATTTTATGAAGTGCAGTAAGTTCTGTGGCTAAACTCTTGGTTTAGCCATTTTTAATTATGAGATGTTATAAACCCTCAATCTCCCGTATGTTTCTGGAAATTTTTCCAGTTTTTCCTCTCCCGTCAACCCCTCTTTCAACTCCGATCTACTCGTCGTCCGACCTCCGATCGACAAGCCGAAACCACCATCGTGTTCGTTGTCAACCGAGGAACAAAACTACTCAAACCTTTCGTCGTGAATCGTCTTCGTTCGTCGTTAATTTCAGTCGGAAGTATCGTCGGTAATAACTCGATTTCAATTGGTTTTTCATCGATTCACGACGATTGGGTCATCCGTTTACGACACCTCCCGCACCATCGTGTTCCTTGCATCGTTTTGAGTCCGCCGGTGTCATCTTTGGTCTCCGTTGACGGCGGCGCGTGAGGAGGTGAAGCGGTCAAAGTTTCCTATTCGTTGAAATCGAGCTCTTCGCCGTTCAAAAAATTGAATCGAGCTTTGTAAGTATCTCGAAATCGCTTAAAATAATTTTTAGGAATTTTTCAAAGAATTTTCCGATATCAGGGCATTGTTCACGTGCCCCCACGTGCCGCCACTACGCGTGGGGAAGACAAAAGTGACCGGTTTGACCTGTTTTGATACATAGTTGACCGGTTTGACCGGTCATAACCCGACCCGTTGACCGACGTTGACCACTGTTGACCAAAACTTTGACTGGCTTTTACCGGGCATTAAACGACCTTTGACTTTGACTGAATATACCTATCCTGACATTTTTCGACGTTCCAAATTCGATTCCGCTGTCCGTTTTTCGAAATTCGAACCCGAAGGCCTCTAAATTGCCAGTCAAACCTGTTGACTTTGATTTTGACCGAAAATTCCAAATTTCCGAAAAGTCATATTTTATGCTTTCGACGTCCTGAATCCGAATCCGAAGTTCGTTTCGCCAAATTCGAACCCAATAAGCTATTTTTCACTGATTTATCACCCGATTCGATCCGTTTATCGTAATTAAGCTCTGTTTCTGATATAATTTATGTTGATATGTATCTGAGGAATTATTGGAAGTTGAATTGAAGATCAAAGGCGTTCGAATGGAATTTTTATGGTCAATCAGTATTGCACGAAAATCGAGGTAATACTTTACTACCTCTTTATGCTTTATAGAACATATTGGTATTGGTAAATGCATGAATGAAAATGTTTGGTCTCGTATGTATAATTAATGAATATGTACACTGGATACGAATATGGTAGAAAGTAGGTAACTGAATATGGCTCAAATTACTATTATAAGAAATTTGAGGATAGTTGGAATTAAATTACAAGTTCTTGAATTAAGTGATAAAAGAATCAACCATGGATATGTAGATTATAATTTTTCTCATTAAAGGTACTTAGATGATAAATTATGAGAATATTTCGATTAGGTAAAATTACGAAATTACCCTTATGTTGGAAAATGACAAGAATTGTCCCTGAAAGTGGATTAATAAATCTGAAAAGAATTATTGATCTGCTAAAACTATTGATGTGCATAAGAAATGTTAGTTTTACTTGGAAATTATGGATAACCGGTTTTTAACCCCAAGAAGGTTTATACTAGATACTAGAAGTCATTTAAGGAATCATTTCAAGATCAAAGAATGTTCGAGGAAACAATTAATCATAGGATCTCTATATTATATTATTTTCGTTAAGATCTAATATCGAAATTATCTGGTTAATAAATTACGAAAATGCCCTTTAGAGGTAAAATAGTCAGAGTTGACCCTGAAGGAGAAAGCACTTTGAGGATTTGTACTTAACTCGATTAAGTACAAATTGAATTATTAATATTCTGTTTTTGTAAAGAAAAATTCATAATATTGCGTTTGTAAAATCCAAGAAGGCACTTGACCCGAAAATATCCGAGTTATGAGTAAATACATGAAGAACAATTTATCGGAGGGTGCTCTTTTATCAGAATTGTTCGAACGGACTGGAATAGATGATAAATTGGAATTAAATAATAAGACCAGATGGAGGAAAAAGATTGAAATACCGTGGATCTGTAAAATGACCAAATTACCCCTGTAATGGAAATGACCCAAGAATATCACCAAGCTCAGGAATGATGGGATATCCTTGAGCTCTGTTATGATTGGAATAAAACTGAAAACCAAAATTACCAAATACCCTTATAGCCTATATTAAGTAAATGTCTTGGATTAATTAAGGAATCCAAATAAGCATAGGTATTGGACTACCTTTAAAAGTTATGGAACACAGCTTAAGTGAGCCGATCAACCGTAATGATATGTCAGTACCTGAACGACATAAATATTACTTGAATGCGTGTTCGTCTACTCAAGTTTAGCTTAATGATAATTTTGGAAGTATTCAGCTCAGCTCAACTCTAGCTCGTATTCAGTAGTAAGAATTTGATATTTGTTAGACAAATCAACCACGAAGACCAAATTGAATTGAACGGAAGTACAATATGTATCCGAAATTCATAAACGTCTGGATTACCCTGGAAAACCCTAAAGTAACTAGAATGGACATGACTGCTAAATGAACTAGGTAACTTCAATGATTGAGGATTTAGTAAGTGATTTGGATAAGTCTGGAAACTCTGATGAGTTTACATAGTGTATAATTACAATGGGTTATGAACAAATTAATCAAGTACGTCAGCATTACATGATATTGTGGAAGCGTGGAAATGAAATTAAGAGCATTGGAATATTTGTTAGTCTCCTTAAGATCTGTTCAGTGATGACTCAGAAGATGATCTATGGATAATAATATTTGGTATTAAAGAGTAGATACTATGGAAGGTTAATGAATTGACAAGTTGATAAGTATTGTTTCTGAGAGCTATTCATTTGGAGTTGTTTGATAAATTGATTAATCGACATAGATTGTAAATGTCCTGAACCTTCATTTCTTCCTTACCAGCTCAAGTCATATTCTGAATAATTGATGATTTTTTTCCAGTTATTGAACTCTTCCAATAGTGATTCTGAATTCCGATATTCTATTGGTATACTGAAGATCTGTGTTTTTCTGTTTGATAAGATTATCCAGTACCTCTGAATGATATCTGTAAACTCTGGTGTGTTTCCTAATTATATAAATATTTTATCTGATTTCCGACTTGAATTATGTTCTGATACATTACCTGAATTCTGTTCTGATTTCTGATCTGGATTCTGTTCTGATATCTTATCTGAATTCTGTTTTGATTTCTGATATCTCCGTTTACCGACGGAGAAATGTTTCATCTGGGGGGTTATTATTGGAGGAAGATTATCTGCAGGCTTCTCGGCTGTGTGCTCAGGGCCTTACTGGTTGTGCGGGGTGTATGGTTTCGGGGAACCTACACAAACAGATTGTGAAAGGATGGGGGTGTATATATATATGTTTTAAAAATAAAAATCTGTATCTTTTTATTGGTTTTATGGGAACACACTAGATAACCTATTCTGATCTCCTGAACTCAGTCATCCGAAATATTTCTCTGAACTGAAAGCTCATTGTCCGTTACCACCTGAAATATCAGTAGGATCTCTGCTCAGCATAAAAATCTGTAAATGTTCGAAAATAATAAGGATATGTATGTTTATCTGTATCTGCACGTTCTTCAGCATCATCTGGTAGTTCTGTATTATTAAGCTTTCTGAAGCTCACTCTATTACTCACCATTGCAGGTTAAAAGAATTGTACCAGTGTAGTTATCGACATCAGTAAAGGAATTCTTCCGGCGTTGTTTCCAGAGAATGGTACATGTGATTAGGGGGCATGTAATTGTATTTTATTTTATATACGAGTCCGAAAATCTGTTTTATTTTTATATAGTGACAAATGATTTTATAAGTTTACATGTTCTGATAAAAAGTTTTAAATTTTCCGCTATTTTTACAGTGGGTCGCTCCGGTGGCCCAAATGTGACACCCCGGATCAGATCTGGTTACCCTTATCGGTCTGTGGGGGTTACAAAAATCATATTTTAATGATGTCTATTAGTAGTGTCATTACTTTTAAGCACTAGCTCAACATCATAATGTTTCAAGCATTGGCATGACGATATAATATAAATGAAGAGCCGATCAATTAAATACATCTTAAGCTTCTAGAATCATATTTCAATCAACAGGTTACCGTCTAGTTCAGACATTCATCAAACTTTTAACATAAAATGACGAGATAGAAACATATTAGTTGAATAATCATTTTGTAACTTTTAATAATTAGGGAACTTAACAAAGTAGCATCTTATAGTTAGGAAATAATTTTATAAATTTTTAATAATCGGAAACTTAACGATGCAACATCTCAAAGAATCATTTATATACTCATTATACATATTTCATTGTTTTACTCATTATATATATTTCACCCTAAAACACATAATACATCCTAAATTAATTTATTCAATCTTTTAATCAATTAAAAAAGTGTCATATAAATTCGTTGAGTTTGAATATAAACACACTTAACGTAAAACATATCAAAGTGAAATCTTAATCTTAAACTTATTTAAGGATTTATACAACTTTTTTTAAATTTCAATAGTTATTTTTCATTAAATTTTATTGATTTATATGACTTCAGAT